ACATTGCAAGCATAAGAATTAGTGTTTTTAATTAACCTTCAAAGGTATACCTTTGGGACTAACTAATGTTCTTGCACTCCTGGGGTCCTTTGAGTCCCACTGTCTTATTCGGGCATTGAAGACAATGCTAGACTGCAGTGGACACACGAATGTGTTGAAACTAGTTTCTCCAGTATCAAGACTTCTGACAGTTTGTTTTTTTTACTGTGGTTTTTTTGTTCTCTAATGATTTGTAATTTGATTTGATTAATAGATAAATACAGTGTTCTTCAAACCATGGTATGTACAAGAAACTAAAAACAAATATTGGTGGCAGGTCCTGTCACACAGTTACCTTCCTTCTTGTTAGCAGTTCAAAAAAATTGGAGGCAGATGCTACCAGCCTTTTGCCTTTCCTCTAGTCAGTAGCTCAAAATTAGTAACAGTTGCAGATAACCATAGGAGCTTTGCCATTTTGGTGGCATTTGGATAGTTGAAATAATCAGAAATACTAATTTTGATTCTTTGATTATTTTCATAACAATTGATTTCATCATAATTTTGATTAAATCTCTTTATGGGCTTGGTCATTTTACTCAAGTTTGTAACCATGAAACTATACATACTATAACTCTAAGTGTACTAAGTGTATTTTCATGAAATTTGGCAAGTTTTTATAAACACTACAAGTCTTGATTGATACTAATTGTAGCAAAATCATCTTTAGCCAAACTTGAAAAATATTAAATAAAATCAAAAATACTTTTTTTTTTCTAGAATGAGTGAAGATTGTAAGAGATGATTACAGTTATTTATCTGAAGAGCTTTAGGCTTCTTAACTTATCATAACTGCTTTCTTTTAATTTTAATGTGTTATTGCTCTTTGAACCATGTCTAAGTACTGCAACAAGAAGTAAATCACCCAATGGGAACGTGAAGAGTTTATAGTAAAGTTTCTGGTTAAAGCATGGTATGTCTAACAATGAGGGTGGTCATGAAACAAATTTTTATATTTATATTTTTTACATTGGGAAAACAAAAAATACTATTGTCAGATTAATATAGCTCACAAAATAGCTCTTTTATTGGTTATAACTATGTAATGTAGACAAGTGGTCGTAAACAAATAAGTGGTTTCAAAAGCATGAACAGTTGGGAAGAGTGTCTATGGTGGGTGTGCTAAATTTATTGATATCTCAGAAAATAAAGATGGGAAGTTCATTCTTATTTTATATTCTGGCCTGGCAATATTTGTAGTTTGGGTATGTATTTGATGGACACTGAAACCCATATAAAGAGAGAAATTCTAAAAAGGATAATTCAGAGTGCAAAATATATGTTTGAATATTTCTTGTTGAGATTAAAAATTGAATAATATAAACATTTGAATTGTAAACTACATTTTAATGTCAAGTTTATTGACATACATTGCTAACAAAGTAGCTTAATTACATTTTTGAATGTAACTTTATAAAAAGGTTGTAGCATGCACAATTTGACACATTCCACTTATACTTACCACTGACCCATCAGGGATGTTTGTTGGAATCATCAAAAACCTTAATAATCAGAAATAGTGATTTCAGTTAATTGATTAAATCATCCAGCTCCAGCCCTAATGCTTTGATGGCAGGAGTGTATTCAGTCATTAAAATAACAAGCATTCAGATTTTCTTCCTGCAACCTCTCGAATATTTGTAAAAGTTAGTTTTTATGATTGTGTAAAGTGGTGGTCTTATAATGGAGGCACTTAACTGAACTGTGTTTTTTGAAATTTTATTTGAATTTATGGATGGTTTGACTAACATTTTATTAATTAATTAGCAAGGTATCCAGCAATTCCAAGCTGAAGTTATTTGAAAAATGGGACACTGGCTACCCTTTTCCACTATTTTGAATCATACCACAAAATGTTCATCTAGTGCATAGATACTCACTTGTGTTTGGTATAAGCATAATTTATTTTGCTACTAATTTCTTTGCTTAGTTAAAGCTTTAACAGTATTAAGGTGGTGAAATTGCAATGGCTGCCAACCTTGAACTGTTATACTGATGTAAACTTGATCTCTGTTTGGAATACCTAAATTCCTCTACCAAATATTATCTGAATTGGTTTAGCCAGCTCCGAACAACACCTTGTGACACCAGACAGATAGGCATACAACTCCGCTTTATACATTTATAGATTATTCTAAGAACAGCTTCGTTTGATGTTTAATTTTAATTAGTATTAATCATCAAATCAAAATAATTTTTCCACAAAATTAATCTAAATATTAAGATTTGTAACATTTATAATTTATGAATTATTGGCTTCAGGAAACATTATAATTCTTCTTTCTTAGCTTTTGTCTTTTCACCAATTCTGGCATTACAATTTATATTATTTTAAATAGTATATGCTTTTGTTTTGTTTTTTTGTATATAAGCCTCCTATCAGTCTTTCAAATGTGTCATTACCTCACATTCTGGATATTTATCCATCCATATTTGAAACTGAATTTTTTTGTAAGACTAGAATTCTAAACATTCATGTTTTCAGGCTCAACATAATTTTAAAAAATTATATCTGGCTTACAAGAAAATGAAACTTCTTGATGGAGTGTGCATAGTCAAGAATGTATAACTACTGGCCCAATTAGATTCATATACAAAACTTTTATAGAAACTAAAAAACAAATTTGTGGGTACTTTGCAAATATTATTTGATGAAAGCCACAAAGTGAAATATTGCTAATGTGGGTCAATGTTTACAAAACAGAATGTGTTGAGGAGATATCTGGAACATAACAAACTCAGTATAGTATTGTTTTAGAAGGGATTTAGTTTTTAATGTCTTACCAACTGGATTTTTTTTTTTTATTGGACATTCCTTTTTGGTGTAGTTTATCTTGACTTTCAGAAGGTTTTGGAAAAGGTGTCACATATTATTAGTTGCAAATCTAGATGCCTTTGTATTCATGAATAAAATGAAAGTCAGCTCAGAGATAGAAAGCATTGGGTGGTAACAACTGGACAGTTTTCTGATCAGAAATGGATGTCACTAGTAGGCTGCTTCTGAGGAACATTTTTTTGCTGATTTAACAAATTACACTGACAGCAGTATTGACTGTAAGTTGGCTGAACGTATTGATGAGTCTAGTGTTGAGAAAAGGTGATAGTGATTTATATAAATCATGTTTGATCAGAAGAATCTCTATAAGTTTATCAACTGGTTATGTATGTGAAAAATCTATCATGTTTGATCAGAAGAATCTCTATAAGTTTATCAACTGGTTATGTATGTAAAAAATCTATTTCAGTCAATATTGAGCAATGTAAAGCCATATAGGACATAGAGATTTCTAAAGGATACGCCTGTTTTGTGGAAAGGAGAAAGTGACTGAGTTCAATAAGTTTATACTCTTGACTACTAATATTTATAATCAATTTTCTTAAGCATAAATATGTTTCTTATACCAAAAACAATTATTACTTAGGTCACAAACATAAGTGTCTGCAGCTTTTGATAATTTTACTTTTATTTAATAATATACGTAGAATTGTAGATGTCTATGTGGCTTTTGTGGTGTATCAGTTAAATTGATTTCCTGAAAGAGTACATTAGGTAGGTCCTCTGTATAATTTATGAAGTACTTCTACATTCTGTTAAACTACATGAGTCTGTGCTAAGAAATAAATTGACTGGATGCAGAGTGTGATGTACAATGTACGATTGGTATCACAAAAACAGAATGTATACTTGTGTTGAACATTGGACTGTCTTTTTTCTATATTTGTGAATATATCAGACTAGTTCTTCTCCATCAAGACTTGTTTTCAAACTGACACACTCAATATGATGTTCCAGACTGTGTAAACCTCACATTACTTATTTGAATTGGTAGTGTCAGGCAACTATCCCTACCCACATGAGTATTCATTCTTGTTTAAATGTAGGTGAGATCATAACCTTGAGATACCACCTAATCTACCCTTAAAGGACAGTGCTCTCTACATTTTTACACAACATGCAGTTCTCCCATGGGAATAGGTTTGGGAATTCTTTAGAAATTAAGGGTGGCTTACTACTATAAGAATATTATATTATTATTTATAACAGCAATTAAAAGGGTGGAAGTTGGGAGTTTTACTGTGTAGAATTTATATTGGGTTAGTTTAATTCTACATTAAAGTTATTTCTATATATTAAAGGTTACTGCCTTCTCACAACTGGCTGCAGACAGCTAAAGACGAGATTTTGTGGGTTCAAACACTCAACTCCTAACCCTTAACTTATTCTCCTTATCGATACTATGACCACAGGCATTATCATTTACGACTTAAGGACGACAGCAAGGAATGGTAGCTGAGGCATGATTTTGAGTTTCAATTTTATTATGATGTTTCTGGTTTATATATGTGTGTGTATATATATATATATATATGAACATTTCATTAATGATAAAAAAACATTAATGCTTATCTCATCATCATTGAAAATTCTAAATCCACTTTTAATTTGATTACTTAATTTACAGAAACTGCTTTCTATACACCAATTGTTATGCACTTTGTTACTGACTTGTCACTTGAAATGGTCTTTAAGTACTGACTACTACTGAACTAGAATTAAGCAAGTTTAGAAGAAGCTGTTACCTAGTAAGTATAAGAAGTATTCACTGTTCTCTTCTTCCCTTACAAAAATCAACTTTTTTATTTTTACAACAAAATAACATATACTGGTAATCAGACTGGGGAGTTAAAGTAACAAAATGTTCTATGTTCTGCATAAAAAATACACATATATTACAGATGAAGCTATTTGAAATGTCTGATTCATGCTTAAGGATTTTGATGGAATGCTGATTCATATTGAATACAAAATTGAAGTTATACTGAAAATTTTTGTTTGTATGTATTTGTGAAATCACATGAAAAGAAGTAATAAAACTATTGGGTATTTTAACAGAAAAAATATTTTTTGGGACTTTCATTGGGTGCAAGCAGGCCATAATATATGGAAGTTTTCATTTTTTCAGGAATGATGATTGAAAGTATGGCTGGGAAAGCTGCAGCTGTTCATGGACTTGCCTTTGATGCTACACCTTTTAAATTCAATGAGAAGAAACCAGCTGCTGAATATTTTGGTGAACTGCTACAATCAGGTAGATTTTCTTATGTGTAACCTACACAATACCATTCAATTATCCTTGTGGTGTACTGTACTAGAATGTCAATTTTCTACAGATTTCAGAGGTTTTCTTCATCATCTGGTTCATTTTCTATGATTCATGTAAATCCAGTTAAAAAATATAGGAGGAGGTCAGCCTATGCTACCATGATGTTCCATGTGCTCTCAATGTTTTGTAAACAAAGGGTCCAACATATAACTACAGTGCAACTCCCTCATTGGATGTTCTCCATGGAACATTTAATTGATTGCACATGCACTTTACAGTATAGCTTTGGCCACGTCCGTCATGCCCACGTAAAGACAGCACTTTTTTCAGGTAAAATTGAAATAAAATCTGTTGAAATTCATCTTTATAATTCACCATCCTACTTCAAAAACATAATCATTAGGCCACTCTCTTTTCATATATCGACATATTTATTAGATATGTTGAGCCATTTATCCTAAAATGAGCTATGAAACTTGGATGAAAACACTGTTGGATTTATTTCATCATTGAGCTGATCAGTCACATTTTGACAGCTGCACAGAGCTATTCTGACCAGATGTCATAATGTTAATGGACATGATATCTTTGAGATGAAAATGCTTTGACCTAAAGGGAATACTTTTATTCTTAAAGTTGAAAATTTGCAAGCTTAAGCAAGTACTTTGCTGGTTTTATGTGGGTGATAATAGGGTTATTTATTAACTTAGCAAATTCAATGATCGACTATTTATTGTTCATGGTGATAAACCAGAATAGATAACCACTTTACTGAGGAGAAACAGTGGATTTTTCACATGATACAATGCACCTGAAAGTGTTCATATTTTGTGTTCCAAACATGCTCTGAGAGCACTTAATTTCCAAAATTTTTGGGCAGGCTCATAGCACCCCCTGAACCCTCAGCCAGATTTACTCATGCTATGAACTCGTAGCCTGCTCAGCAAGATTTCAGACTTCGTTATTTTTTCCTGTTGATATCCCTGACTGTAACACTAAGTTAAAGTTGTTTTGGTTTTAGCACTTTTACTATTGAGTATTAAGTATTAATTAAATTAGATATTGTGCTGTATTTTCTCTCAATAAATGATACTGACAGTTGTTACCTAACATTTCATATTTAGATAATACATGCTACATTTTGTAATACCTGTTAGTTTTTCCTGGTACAATTTTGTTAATTTTTCTACATTCATTTTAAATACTAAAAGAAAAACTGAACTTAACTTAGAGCTGCTGTTGTGAGAACAATGGACATCTGTCATTTTTTGTCATAATTTTAATTGTAATAAGGTTCATAATGTATTAAGTATAATGTGGTTCTCATTAATAGTTGACCTTTTTTCATCAACCTACTAAGATTATCTTGTTACATGTAGCCGGGTACAATTATTATGGAACAGAAAGAATGTACAGTGGTGTAGATGGACGAGAACTAGAAGCTGACATCTTTTTTGGAGTTGTGTATTACCAAAGATTGAGGCATATGGTGGCTGACAAATTTCAAGTATGTTCTGTCTTTAGGATTAGAAGTTCTCTCTACATGCTATTAGCTAATACTAAAGTATATAACTTATTTATTAGTGTGTTGTAAGAATAGCTCACACAGTGTATTCACTGACTCAAGAAGACATAAGTTGTAATTATAGTATTGGGTTGTACTGCAAATTTTTCACTCTTTTTAGCTTAAAGTTAAGCTTGCTAAATGTCTTTATTTTCTTTGCACTTCCCACAGTTGGAAAATGGCATTGCTCAAGAAAATTTCTAACTTTAACTTTCCCCAGGAGCTAATTGAATCAAGTGTTATTAGGCACTGTCTTCTCTGATTCTCTTACAAAAATAACAGAATGCTTTATAATTAAAACCTGGTGGACTTGCCCTTTATCTTTGCTACCCAGTAGCAACTGATCTAACAGACAATCATGTTTTATTGTCATATTTAAACCAAAGTTGGGGCCTGAGAAAGAAAACTTTATACAAATTTTTTCACATGATCACTTGCTTATATTGTATAATAGTGCTTTGCTATTTCTATAAAGTGTCAAGGTTTCAGTTAAACATTCGTTTCTTATGTAAACCTATTTGTTGTTTTTTTTCCTGTCTCATTCTTTGTTACCCAGCTGTTACATACATCAGGAAACACATCCTTATATGAGATCTGCAAATCTACTGTCTTTATGAGCCTGGACTTCTCTGCTTTGCTGAAAATATTCAAGATATCACATAATTTTAGGAAATGTAATTTTTTTTTTGTATTTAAACGTCTCACTTAATACATTATTTAATAAATATAGTGTGTATAGTGTTCATGTATCTGGTGTATAACACTTCTACCTGAATATGCAATATTTTATTGAAACCCAATATTGGGCAAATACATTTTTTACAAGGGTTCACAACATCAGTATGAAAAAGGTGTATGTCAACATGTCAAATTAAATATATAGTGTCAGCATTTCTCAAAAAGATTCAATTCTTCAGTCTGCTTTGCAAACTGCTATAAGTTTAATCATGATTATTTTTGCATTTTGCTTTTATTTTAATGACAGAGTTGTATTATAGTTTCATGTGCAACCTGGTATTGTAGGCAGTACATTTGTTCTACACAGTGTTCTGCTTTTTTTATAAATGTATGCATATTTATTTACAGAAATTTAGATATAATGGTGAATAAATGTTAATTAGTAAGTAAATTGCAGGTGGCATCCTCAATATAATGGGTTCTAGGTTATTATTAGGGAATCTACTATAGCAAACCAGTATTGTAAGTCTAAACAAATAATGTTAATTTTAAACCAGTTTCTTTAAATTATTTACTAGTGATGACATTGTGCTTACTGTATGGGTTCTTTGAGCTATTAAACTCTGAAATGATAAAAAAAATTCTGATCAAAAACTAAAATGTGATGTTACAAAGATGACTCAAAAATGTATGCACACTTTATAGACAGAAAAATGTTTTTGATTGTTGAATGTTTCTTTAATACATAAACACACGTTTCAGACTTTGAACATAACCTTATACTTCATTTATATCAGGTACGAACAACTGGTCCTATTGATATCTTAACACACCAGCCAGTGAAGGGACGAAAACGAGCGGGAGGAATTCGATTTGGTGAAATGGAACGAGATTCTCTTTTGGCTCATGGGACATCATTCCTTTTGCAGGATCGGTTATTTAACTGTTCAGATAAATCTCTTGTAAGTATTGTTTGTTTAACATAAAATTTAATATAATATATTACAATTCTGATATCACTAATAAATGATTAGCAATGTTTCTTTTTCATTTAATTCAAGTTTGCATCTGTTGGTTTATAGACTCTTTTATTATACATTTACTCTACTGTCCATTCATTATTGAAATTATGAATATTAGTATAAATCAGAACCACTCAGTTATCATAAATTGTATTGTTTTGCGTAAAAATTTCCTTATTTTATAGAAACTTATTTGTAGCAACATTATTTACATTTGTAATTTTCTTGGACTTTGGAATTAGCATTGAATTAATAGTAAGTCTTTGACATTAGTTTATTTTTTGTTTTTCAAATGGCATTTTGAATATTTGAAATATTACATTTACTTTTAGTAGAGAAATTATCATTAAATTAGATTGTCATTATAATATTTTGAACCCAACAGAAAATATATTTTGTTTTGTCATGTTATAGGAAGCAAAATGTTTGTTTCATTTCATATTTTTTTAATTAAATAATTCTAATCGATATTTTAAGGCTTACACTTACTTAATATTCCACTGTGAGTATTTATATACTAGATTGAAGGAAGGCAGAGGAATTGAAACAAGATTATTCTTGTGTGTATTTTATATTGGGATAAAATATTTTAGGAAATATTGCTGTTTTAATTATCTATGTCTAATAAACCTCACTTCATTTTACCTTAGAGGATTTATAATTTTTCATTGTATTTATAGAAGGTGTGCTAAAAGGGTAATTATGTATTATTTTTGGATTTGGTTTGAAAACTCCCAAGATCTGTAAAGCTAAAATTGAACAATAAAATTGTTTACATAAGATGTTGAGATTATTTTATACTTACAATCTTAGTAATGCTGTATACATTTATTAAGAATACAAGCTTATTTTACTTTGTAAAATAAAAGTACTCTTGTTTTTTTCCTTTGGTGAAACCTGTTATTAGTATTTGATGTCTCTACTATTATCAAATTTTTTTATCAGGCATTCGTCTGTACAAGATGTGGTAGTCTTCTTTCTCCCATGTTTGAAAAGCCAGCTAAAGACAATATGCCAGCTAGTCAGGAATTAGTGCGTTCATGGATGTGTGCTACATGTGAAACCAGTGAAAATATTCAACTTATTACAGTGCCTTATGTTTTCAGGTATCTCGTGGTAGAGCTAGCTGCAATGAACATAAAGATCCAACTTGATGTCATGTGATATAATAATAATAATATTGAGTTTAACTAATATTCCTATCTATCACTGATCTGTTTATGTTGGAGAAACAAACTTGTACAAATTTGACAGATTTGTAATAAAGGTACTTAAATGGTACAAGATCTACTGTATTATAACAGCTCCTTGTATCCAAGCTGCAGATTTCTCAATAATTATGTGGGATAATAAATAAAAACTTTGATTTTTCTTACTTATGCAGTTTTTTATTTATTTAACATTTGAAATCTACCTCTAATTATATGGCAAAATTTTATTATATATCAAGGATATCGATCTATATGAACTCTTTGTACAACCTATGAAATATTTCTTCTACCACCAGAAAAGCCTAGGTAATTTAAGTTGGTATAATTCAGATCTGATTCTACTTGTGCCACCAAAAAGTGACATCATTACAAGAGTTTAAAATGAAGATTTTTATTATCATGAGTATGTAAGACTTCTTTCAGAGGGGCTATCTTTAATGATGAATTTGGGATTCAACAAAAAGTTATCAGTAAGAGATTATTTTTTTGTGAGATGAACATCCAAATGACAACATGCTCTTGATAGCATGTATGTCCTGACACCAGAAGAACATTTGTTAACACTGAAGTTACCATATTACATCTGTGTTAGACATTGAATTCATAAGTATCTTTAAATTCATGATCCTATTGCTTTTATGATATATTTTCTCATATCTACCACGAGAAGGTGACATAAACAAAAAATTTTAATATAATTTGCAGTTCTTTTGAAAGGCTTTATTAAGGTGTTATTTACTTGGTTTAGAGAAAAAGGTGACACATACCAAAACCAATACTTCCTGTAATGTTTCATCAAACAACAAGACATGAAACCTGTCAACTAATCAGAATATATATTGCTGTTTCAAAACAATAGTTATTTCTTCATTTGTGTATACTATTATGTATATATATATATATATAATGTCAACTGGTCAAGTACTTGCATAGAAGTTTATTAAATCATTATCAAAATGTTAAATCTAGAGGACATCAAAAGAGTTCTCAATACCTGATGCACGAGTCAACCAGACCAAATTTACAGGTGTTGGGAGAAGAAAATAGTCCCTACCCATACCAGGAATTTTTAGCTGCAGCATAGTGGCTCATAGCTCCATCATCTCTTTACCAATTTGTGATCTAATTACAGTTTTAGACTCAGGAGATCAAACCCTGTTGATTGATGTATTTGACCATGCCCAAAGTCTCATAGATTAATTTACTCTAATTCTGCCTAAAAGAATTTCAATTTGAGGGTAAGCTGATAGAGATCCTGATGAGTAATAAAATTAAATCAGGTATACATGTGCCTCATGCTTGATATCACCAGCACATACAAATATAGCTAACAAAAAGAATAAAAAGGTCTCATAGATTAATTTACTCTAATCCTGCCTAAACGAATTTTAAGTGCCACAGCTATTGAGGATTCCCTCTTGTCTAGAAAAAACAGCTGCAACAAGTGCAAATGCATTGTATCCTGAATCTCATTATCTATGTGAGGAATTGTGGTTCCAGTTATTGTCTTACAGCACATAAATTTCACCAACCAAGGCTCCAGTCTCAAGAGGTATTTTGGCTCCAGCTATGTCTTACAGTATATAGAAAGAACCCCAGTCAAGGCTTCAATCTGAAGTGGTATTGAAGCTCTAGTTATTATCTTGCAGTATAAACAGAAACCCAGTTGAGGCTTCAATATGAAGAGATATTGAGGTTCTAGCTATTGTCTGACAATAAGGCTTCAATCTAAAGAAATAATGTGTCTCCGAATATTGTCTTACAACACTGATATAATCCCAGTGAAGTCTTCAGTATGTTGGGGTGTTGGGATCCCAGCTATTGTCTTAAAGCACAGAGAGAACTAGAGTCAAGACTTCAAATTGTGTTGCTCTTCCTGTTGTCTAACAGTATGGAGACAACTCCACAGAAGGCTCAATCTCAAGAGTTATTGTAGCTCTAGTTATTGTCTTCCAGTATGAAGAGAGAACCCCAGTGGAGGTATCAGTCTTAATTATTATTGCCTCTAATTATTGTCTTTCAACATGGAGGTAACCCAGTTAGGGCTTTAATCTGAAAATTCATTGTGTCTCTAGCTTTTATCTTACAACATGGAGGTCACTCTAGTCAAGGCTAAATCTGAAGAGGTATTGTGGTTCTGTTACAGTCATACAGCCCAGAGATAACCACACTAAAGGCTTCAATCTGAAAAGGTACTGTGGCCCCAGCTATTGTATTAAACCATGAAGATAACTCTTGTAAAGGTTTCAATTTATAGAGGTATTATGGTTTCAGCTACTATCTTACAGCATGGAGTTAACCCCAATGAAGGCTGAAATCTGAAAAGGTATCATGGCTCCAGTTAAAGCTAAATGTAAAGAGGTATTCTGTTTCCATTTATTTTCTTACAGTATGAAAATTACCCCAGTAAAGGCCTCAATCTGAAGAGGTATTATAGCTCCAAATATTGTGTTACAGTAAGGAGATAAACCATGTCAAAGCACCAATTTCAAATGGTGTTGTGTTCTATTTATTGTCTTTCAACATGGATGTAATCTCAGTCATGGCTTCAACATGAACAAGTATTGTGGTTCCATTTATTGTCTTACAGTATAGACATTACCTCTGGTCAGGGCATAAATCTGAAGAGCTTTTGTAGCTCCACTCAGTGTCTTCTAGTGCAGAGAGAATCTCAGTTGAAGTTTCAATCTGAAGAGGTATTGTGACACTAGCGCTTATCTTACAGTATCAAAATAGTTTCAGTGAAGATCCCAATCTCAAAAACTATTGTAGCTCCAGTTTATGTTTTGTAGTATGGGGAGAACCCCCAATGAAGGTTTCAGTCTGAAGAAATATTGTTGCTCCACTTATTGTCTTACAAAATATAGATAACCCAGTCAAGGCTATAATCAAAAGAGGTATTACCATTACATTTGTTGTCTTACAGAATGTAAGTTATCCCATTCAAGGCTTCAATCTGAAGAAGTATTCTGGCTATAGATATTTTCTTTATGCTGGACATAAATGCAACCAAGGCTTCACACTGAAGAGATATTGTTACTTCACTATTGTCTTATAGATATAATCCTAGTAAATACTTCTATTTGAAGAGGTATTGTTGTTCTGGCAATTGTCTTACTGTATGGAAATAACTTATATCAAGGCCCAATCTGAAGAGATGTTGTGGTTCCATTTATTATTTTACTGTATGGAATTTACCTGAATCTAGGCTTCAATCTGATGAGGTTTTGTGGCTCCATTTATTGTCTTTAGTTTAAAAACCCAACTCGAGGCTTTAACGGGAAAATATATTCTTGCTCCAGTTATTGTCTTACTGACTGTAGATAACCCCACTCAGAGCTTTAATGTGAAAACGTATTGTAGTTACAGCTATTGTCTTTAACCATGAAGGTAATTGCAGTGAGGGCTTCTGTCTAAAGAGCTTTGTGGATCCAGCTGTTGTTTCACATTATGGAGATAACTCCACACAAAGCTAAATCTGAAGACTTATTGTGGTTGCCTTTATTGTCTTATAGCATTGAAAATACCCCAGTAAAGATTCATTCTGAAGAAGTATTGTTGGTTCAAATATTGTTTCATACTTATCAGATAAACCATATCAAGGCACTAGTTTGCAGAGGTATCATGACACTTACTATTTAATGTCTTACTGAATGAAAATTACCCAATCTAAGTCTTCAATCTTAAGAGAAATAGTAGCTCCTGCTTTTGTCTTACAGAGAGGAAGTAAACAGTGTCATTGTGGCAGTCTGAAGAGGTGTTGTACTTCAATTATTGTCATACAACATGGATATATCTGATGATATACTGGGGCTCCAGCTATTGTATAAAGCATGGAGAGAAACACAATCTAGGTTTCAATCTGAAGAGGTAGCATGGTTCAAGCTAATGTCTAACAGTATGGAAAAAATTCCATCAAAGTCTCAGCCTCAAGAAATATTGTACCTTCAGTTATTGTCTTGCAATATGGAGAGAAAATCAGTTGAGGTGTCAGTCATAAGAGTAATTTTTACTTCAGTTGTCTTACAACATTGAAATTATCCAAGTTAAGGCTGCAATATCAAAATATATTATCTTACAGTATAGAGATAACCCCAGTCAAGGCTAAATCTGAAGAGGTAATGTGATTCCAATTTATCTTACAGTATGAAAATTACCCCAGTAAAGGCTTCAATCTCAAGAAGTATTGTGGCTTCAAATATTGTCTTCCATTTAGGAGATAAACCATGTCAATGCATCAGTCTAAAGAGGTGTTGTGGTTTAGTTACTTTCATACATCATGGATATAATCCCAGTGAAAGCTTTTAGCTGATGAGATACTGTGGCTCCAGCTATTGTCTTAGAGCATGGATAGTACCCCAGTCAAGGCTTCAATCTGAAGTGGTCTTATGGCTCTATTTATTGAATTGTAATATAGAACAAATTTCTGTCAACTCTTCAATCTGAAGAGTTAAAGTTGTTCCAGTTACTGTCTTACAGCAAAGAGATACTCTACTGAAGATTAACATGAAGGGCATTGTGGCACTAGCTGTTGTCTTATAAATGGATATGATTCCAATGAAGGCTTCTGTCCCAAGAACTATTGTTACTACACTCATTATTCTTCCAACATCAAGATAGCCCAAATTATGACTTTAATATCAAAGAAATTGTGTCTCTGTTTGTTATCTTACAGTGGGAAAATAACTCCAGAGAAGGCTAAATCTGAAGAGGTATTGTGGTTCCATTTATTTTCTTACAGTCAAGGCTTCAATTTAAAGAGGTATTGTGGCTCTAGTTATTTTCTATTTAAGTGGACATACCTCAGTCAACACTTCAATTGGAAGAGGTATTGTGGCTTTAGCTGTTGTCTTATAGCATAGATATAACCCCAGTTAATGCTTCAATCTAAGAGGTATTTTCACTCTGGCTTTTATCTTACAATATGGAGGTAACTCCATTTAAGGCTAAATTGTGGTTCTGTTTATTATTTCACACTATGGAAATTATTCCATTAGAGGTTTCAATCTGAAGAGGTATTGTTGCTTCAGCTATTATCCTGTAGCGTATATATAATCCTAGTTAAAACTTCAATTTGAAAAAGTATTGTCGTTCTAGCTATTGTCTTATTGTATGGAAATAACTTAAATCAAAGCTAAA